AATATTGGACTGTATAGGATAAAAAGTTACTCAAAACGTGCCTATGTATGAGGAAAGAAAAAGAACGAAGAAATTTATCAGTATAGTGATTATAGTATGATCACTATACCCTAAAAGATGAGAAATGCCTTTCAAAGGTCTATCGCAAGTTCCAACAGTTGTTAATGTTTTAGAACTATCAACACGTGAATTACAAAAAGTTGAATTAAATGTCTTCATTTACGATGAAGAAACATATTCTAAACATAGATATTATAATGTTAATGATGTGCTGGCACATATTGAAGCTAATGATACAAAATGTATTTGGTTAGAAGTCAATGGAGCAATTCAACATCGAGATGACGTTTTGACTCAACTAGCATTACATTTTAATTTACATCTATTGACAGTCGAAGATATTCAAACGACTCAACAACGAATGAAATTAGACATATTTGATGATGGAATTTATTTATTAATGAAAATGATTTATGTAGAACATGAACATAAGACCAATATTCTAGAAAAACACATTAGCATTTATTTGAAAGACAATCTTCTATTGACATTCCAAGAAGAACATAATCAATTATTTTCTCAAATCAAACAGCGAATAGCAAATAGTCGAGGACGAATTAAAAAATTGAGAACAGATTATTTATTCTATTGCTTAGTTGATACAATTATCGAAAATTATATGATTGTTCTTGGAACTATAAGTATCACAATTGAAGATATTGACGCGGAATTAATGAAAATGAGCACATTAAAATTAGACACATTGAGGTTGATCTATTTCATTAAACATGACATGCTTCATTTTCGAGTATTATGTTCACCATTGAAAGAAATTATTATCAAACTACAAAAAACACAAGATAGGCTACCAAGACGAGATCTATTTGTCGCTATGAGACAAGGACGAAAACGAAAGAAGCGACGATTAACAAGACGAGCAACAATCATCATTACACCGCCGGTTACTAATAATAACTATAATTCTTTCAATTTAATATCAGCCAGAAGATCTCGCAGGCATTCATTATCTCCTGTTGGTCATAGACGCACGAGTGAGTCTGATACTCCAATATTGAATGAATACATATTCATGTACTTCAGAGATTTACACGATCACATAATACAAGTAAATGAGACAATTGAGACTTATAGTGAAATGGTGGATTCACTCATTCAATTTTACATGGTTTTACATAATAATGCGATAAATAAGAAAATGAAATTATTGTCTGCGATCTCGGTCTTTTTCATGCCGCTATTATTTCTCATCGGATTAAGCTCGATGAATTTCGCTTATATGCCACAACTGGACGTCCATTCGGGACATTTTATTAATTTAGGACTTTTAGCGATTCTCGCTATCATCATGATTATTTGGTATAAGGTTAAAAAATAGTGGTAACAAGATATTTTAGGAATAGTGAAGGCATGTGCTTACCTAATTCATATACCGTTTCAATTGCTGTGTTTTACAGTGACACCTTGTAACCAGA